TCTCTATAATGATCCAATACAAATGGAATACCAACAACAACTCAACAGCACCAACGCAATCTACGACAACAACCCACATATTGCACATTTGTTTAGAGCGGTTATAAAGTGTCACATTTCGACTGTAGTATTGTGGTATTAATATTTGTATTTAATTACTTTGTTGAGCTTGTTTTTAGCTCCATGTATATTTCTATTTTACTGATAAGGCTTATAATCAGGGGTGCACATAACGTTTTGAGTGAGTTACTCAGATGAGTACCAGGAGACAGCGTCTGGTACTCACCCCACACGAAGCGTCCTCCTCAGTGTCTCCTTCACTGTCCTCTATTTACACTTCTTGCATGCTAGATGATGAAGATGATGAAGATGCACCTCCCTGTCTCTTTTTAAGCCTCCGATTTGCTTTCTCCAAAACGTGTTGCCAAAACTGTGAAGTCCTTGCATTTCCTGAGGCCAAGTTGAAGGATCAAATACTAAGAAATGATCAGATGACTTGAAGTCATATCTGATTTCAGATGTGGGAAGTTACTAAGTACACTTATTCCAGTACTGTACTTAGGTACAATTTTGAGATATTTGTACTTTACTTGACTTTGATCTACTTTGTAAAATTAGCTGCACCTTTACCAGCTTTGATAACACTTTAATGATCAATCATTACAAAACATATCATATATATTATTCTGAAATGGACGATTCTGCACAATGACTACTTTTACTTTTGGTACTTTAATTATATTTTGATGATAATACTTTTCTAATTTTACTTGAGTAACATTTGGAATACAGGACTTTTACTGTAACAGAGTATTCCTACACTCTGGTACTTCTGCTTTTACTCAAGTACAATATCTGAGTACTTCTACCACCTCTGTCTGATTTCAAACTCTTCCATTAACACCCTGAGTAAGTCTGCAGCTGTGTGTTTCACTCCACTTTGGTGTAAATAAAACTGTAGCAGCTTGACCACAGAGCGTAAACGTTGTGATCAGCTGATTTTGCGCAGTTCTCCAGTGTGTGTGCGCGGGGCACAGAATGTGCACAGGGGAGTCTCCCACTGCAGCCAGTTGGCGGAGTTTTGGCACAATTCTGTTGTTCATACCGACGTTAACCCTGTCTGTGCACACGGTGAACACGGTGAACAACTCTGCCGTCCGGTCCAGTGATAAAGCCTCTGCCTCCTGTAAGCTTCACAGGTCCGTCGGTTATGTCCTGCGCGGCTCGGCCAGCACCTAGGTCAATCAGTCATAGAAAGTCTGAAGATTTCTCGCAGGGAGCGAAACGGCAATGTAGCTGCTTAATGTCTTTGGGTTTTCTGACATGTCTCGTAGTTTACTCCATTGAGTGTTGACAAGAAACACGTGTAGACGAAATATGTGTTTTTGTTTTGATGTTTTAAGGTACGCAAAGGTGCGTAATGACACAAGTGACGTTACTCAATTCAGATCTTTGTACCTGCGTACCAGTTATGTGCACCCCTGAATATAACAGTGTGAACAATATATTATTACAAGAACATTTACTGCATAACGTAATACAAAATTTATGTAATCAAGTTCTGTCTTATCTATTGGGTACATTTACTTTTCACCACTGTACGCTATAGTTTTATGATCTACTGCCTAATTTAATATCACATTTTCAAATAAATATAAATAAAAATTGTAATTTACTGCTTGTACCAAAACAATTTGTTTGATTAACAAAAGATCGGGTGGTCCGACTTACAGTCAAAAGAAGAGTTTTAATTTGTTAACTGTCAAAAGCACTGCAAACACAAAACACTGCAAATAAAAAAACCGCTGGAAGAAGCTCAACTGTTACCTGTTTCCTGTTTCCTGGTCGGAAGTGTTTTGTCAATATATTTGAAATGACTAATTTAGTTACGTTAGTTGTTAGATGTGTTTTTGAATTTGCATCGTGTCTCAAACTGCTGTGTTCTTTGTTCTTCCCGAATGGAAATGTTTTTGGTAGCGTGTTTGTACCTGTCGACCACCGTACATTACCATTCAGTGAACAATAAGCATATCCCTGTGTTTTGAAAGTATTTTTTTACATTTCCTTTAAATTGTGTTACCGTTGTACTGCTCTAATAAAGAGAATTGAACTGAATGTTTCATCCACAATCTAATCATTACTATGTGTTGTGATCAGTTTACCCGGCCTCCACAGTCCACTTGAAGCTCTCCCCAGACCAGATGTGACTCGGGACTCTCTGCCCACTGACATCTCCTCAGAGAGAGACCCTCACCCAAAACACAGCAGTGTGATGGAGAGACGGAGGGAGGGACGCAACAAAACCTTCGACTGGGCCGAGTTCAGGGCTCAGAACAAACCCGCCCTGGACCATCAGAGGACTAAAGCTCTGTGCCCGCTGGAGTTAGGAGAACTGGAGAGGAGGAAGAGGAGGGAGGAGCGGAGGAGGAAGTACGAGAGCATGCTGGGCTTCCCTCTGGGATGGGAGGCGATTGGGGATAAAACAGCAGATGGTTCACTGAATCCGAAATCACAGCAGAAATTGGTGGAAGATATCGACGAGTGCTGGAAGCAGGTGGAGAAGACGATGTTCAGAATGGACAGGAGTATCCCGCTGTTTCCTGAAACTGAAGAACCTGTGGAGCTGCTGGACAGCTACAGGACGGGGGTGAGTGCTGTTGTCACATTTTATTTTTCCTATCATTTGGGCTGTGATAAAGCATGTGGAATACCTTTTTCCCCACAAATATTGGAATTTAAACCTCTAGTTCTTTACTAAAGTGTGTATTTAAAAAATATCTGAAACTTAAAGGGGCCCAATAAAGCTCTTTGGGGTTTCCCCTCCCCTGTAGCGTGTGATATACTGGAGGTATTTGTGCATGTAAATGTTCTGCAAAGGCTCAAATCCCAAAGTTTATGATCAGGACTGATGTTGGTTAAAAGACTCAACTTAGTAAAAAAGTAAAATAATATGAATAGGTAATGTTTTTATCCTCTAAGCAACAAGGGTCAAATATTGCTACAACTCATAACATAATTTGTGAACTGGATTTTTCTCATCCACAAAGGAGGAATCCAACTCCTTCATGTTTTGATTTCATCATTGTGAAATCTCAACATTTAATTGATTATTATTTATATTCATTGAATGGTTTCCCATTAAAGATGGAGGATCTGCAGGCCCAGCTGGCAGAGTCCGAGTGTCGCAGACTGGAGATGGAGGCTCAGCTGACTGCGGCAGGATGTTATCAGCAGCAGGTCGGCCACACGTTGCATCTTTATCTACTTCCTATTCTGTTCCTATTTTTTAAGTTTTCATACCCACAATGCTTATTTCTTTTAACCTATCTCTGCTGTCTTCCCTTAGCTGGACCCTCCTCTAACTCCTGAATCGGTTTTCTCCCCATCGGACATAAATGTAAAGACACTAAACGGATACGCACAGACCCTGAAGGATGTGTGCACAGAAAGCAGAGAACAGCAGAGCATTGTCAGCATGCAGGAGCAGCTCAGCTTTGTCCCGCCTTCATTAAATCCTCAAGCCCCCAGCATCTGGCTGCATGACGCAGAGGGCAACTTCACAGACCTGGGGGATTTTCTTCCTGAGACAGAGGACACACCTGTTTTACTATCACCTGCATCAGATAGCGAAGACTCATTTTCTCAGAGTGACGGACAAACAGATTTAAACGTTGCGACATTGAACCACCAGAATCAGCTGGACAGAAGTGAGCAGGCTCCCGGTGCAGAAACACAAATACAAAACAGTGAATCATTGGTTCTGCAGACGCTGGAGGAGGGAGATGACAAACATCTGAACGGCTGTGTAGAGCAACACCTACCGTCAGACCCGGAGCTGGTGAGGAGGCTTTCCCAAGAGGTGGAGCTGCTCACCAGCCAGAAGGAGGCTCTGAACCAGCGCAACCAGGAGATGCTGAACCAGCTGACAGAGGCAGACCGAGAGATAGAAAGGCTCAAAGTGGAGCTCAGCAGCAGGTACACTGAACCCCATCACCTCCCTGAAGTAGAGCAGCTGGGACAAACAAGGGTGGACGTTCTGGAGATGGAGGTCAGCTCAAGAGAGCAGCAGCTCCTGGAGGCGCAGACCTTAATCGCCTCCCTGGAGGAGAATCTGAGGGAGACGGAGGCCATGCTGCAGCTGAATTCTCCAACAGAGGGAGCTCCACAGGAGAGTAAGGGTTATCTGCTGAGATGTTTCGAGGCTACCGAGGCAAAGCTGACGGCGTTGGAGAAGCAGCTCGAGCAATCAGAAGCAACCTGCAGGGAGCTCCAGAAGCAGAACGCAGAGCAGAAGGGAGCGGAGACATACTACCGTGAATCAGCTGCGGAGGCCAAGGCAGAGGTCAGGAGGCTGAGTGAAGAGCTGGAGAAGAAGGAGAGTTCGAAAGATGGAGATAAATGTGTTTCTGGTGAAGAAAGGATACGGCAAGTGATAAACGGGATGGTCGTGAGGTTGAAAGCTTTGTACAAATTACTGGAGGTGATCGAGATGTTGGATTTTGGTTCGGGAAAGGAGGAAGAGCTTACAGTGGAGAGTCAGTTAAAGTGGGAGGAGCAGTTTTGGAGATTACTGCACGACAAAGTGAAAGTACACCCCTCGGAGCTCAAAGAGGAGAAACCTGTGGAAGAGCTTCTCAGTGAGGTGACAGAACGTATGATGGTGGAGAAACAAATGCTGCTGTCAGGGCATTGTCTATTTTCTGAGACATGCCCAGATGAAGGCAGGGAAAGTCTAAAAAATCTGGATATTAATTGGAATACTTCAAGTGAGATGGAAACCGAGAAGACGGATGAAAGTAGGATATTTGATTGTACTAGCAAGCTGTATGAGATGGGACATTTTAGAAGCGTCACACAGATGAAAATACATTTTCTAAATCACCTTGCATCCTCTGTTGGCACCTCAGCACAGGAGAAACTCCAGCTGACGGCTGACCTTCACTTTTCTGAGCATCCGATGTCTGGTTTCATTCAATCTGCAGCGACTGAAGCGGTGCACTGCTATCATTTAGCCAGGCTTCACTCAACATACGGGAGGCAACTAGAGGAAACCAGACAGAAATCGCTCACCTGCAGCAACTGTGTCTGCTTAATGGAAGAAAACAGGGAGCTGAGAGAAAGATTGTCAAACATCGAAGCACAACAGTTGTCAACGGGGGACAAGATAAACACAGGTTGCCAGACAGAAGACGCCAACCAACGAGAATCAGACATTGAGCTACAGGAAAGTATTCCAGATGAAAGAGGGGAAGAAGAGGAGATGGTTGAGTGTCCAGAAATCCCTCTTCCATGTGCTGAAGGTCAGTTTGGAATTGAGGAGAGAGCAGATGAAAATGCAGAGAGAAAGGATGCATCTCATAAAGAAACGTGTCCTCTATGCGTGGATTCAGAGAAAGAGGTTTTACTGCTGAGGAGAAAAGTGGAGGAGCTGGAGGAGCTGCAGGTTGTCATGGAAGAGGAGATGAAAGAAGAGCTTCATGGGAAAATGAGTTCTGTTCAGACACAACATGAGAAGGAGTTGGAAAAACTGAAGGTAAGCAAAGCACAAGGGGTTTACAAACACAGCTTGTTCAGGCTTAAGAAGCCCTTAGTTTAAAGATAATTTGACCCATCCCTCATAACAGACATGCATATCAGATTTTAAACTGATTTAATCCGTGTTAAAAGATTTAAACCAATGAATAACAACCATTTTCCAACATGACACAGGCAAATCAATATTTTGTAAGTCTTTATTTATTTATTTTGACTGGCTGCTTTCACCCAAAAAGTTTTAAAATAATATAGGTGTGAAAGAGAATGACTTAACACCCTGAAGGTAATGAGTATGTCACTCACATGAACATCTCCTCCAGGCCACATGTGAGCGCGGCTTCGCCTCCATGGAGGAGTCTCAGCTGAAGGGGGTGGAGGAGCTGCAGCATCAACACCAACAGGAAGTGGAGCGCCTCCTGGTGGAGAGAGACAGGCTGCTGGAGGAGGAGAGCGCTGCTACTGCCACTGGTGAGGAGCTGTCAAAACTGCACTTTAAATCCCACATAATAATGCCACATTTTTACCATCGCCTTTTTAGATCTTATTCATTTTTAACTTTATATTTTCATAAAGGCTTTTATTCTTTAGACGTCTGGTTCTTAAGTTAACAAAGACACAAGCTGAGATTACTTTATCCTTAAGCCCTGAGCTCCTCCATCCTGTGTCCACAGATGAAACATGTTTTTTATTTGAAAATGCTTTATTCAGTTTGTTTTTTTGTATAAACTCTCTGTTTCCTTTTTTGAATAACCTTCAAACTATCACCATGAAAAGTAAATGATTTAGCTAATTATTATTCTTCTTTCAGCAATTGAGGCTATCAAGAACGTCTACCAGCTGGAGTTGGAGAGGGAGGTGCAGAGGAGATGTCGCTCAGAGAACAGCAAAGGAAACACACACCTGGAGGACATGTGCAGACAACACAGGTACATCTTCTATGTTGTCCAAAACAAATGTGATATTTTGACATGTATTGTAACTGTTGTGTACAGATTGCAGTTTATTTAGAATATTTCTGTGTGTTTGTAAAGTGAGGAGCTGGCCTCGTACCAGCGGGAGCTGGAGGTTCTGTCCCAGCAGTTCTCTCTGAAATGCCTGGAGAGCGGCCATCTTGTGCAGGCCCTGGATGCTGAGAGGAAGGCCTTGTGTCAGTGCCAGCAGGAAAACCAGGACCTGAGGACCAGGAACCAGGTGAGAGCTGCGATGCACGATGGCTAATGGTTAATACCCGCAGCGAAAATAATACATTCTCAAAGCTGCCGCAAAGGTTAAAATGCTTCCCCAACTGCACTGCCAAGCAAATAGTGTCTTAGTCATTTTTATAGCTTTACAGGAATACTTAACCGATAAAAAAAACATTTTTTTAAACAAGCCGTGTTATAGTTAAAAAAAACGTTATTATTTTCACATGGTGACTCAATAATTGAATTGTTTCATATACAGCATACCTATATCTCACACAACGCGTGCAGTATATCCAGTCTTTTGCTCATTACTTTACAAACACATGACTTTTGACTAAAACGGCCGATGGGCTATTTAAACACATCAGAGTGTGATTGAGATGAAAGCCTCATTGTGGTCTTGTTTCTGATGTTGTCCTCCAGGAGTTGAGCGGTCACCTGGCAGCAGAGATCACCAGACTGTGTTCTCTGGCGAAGCAGGACGCTCTGCCGCTCAGTCAGGGGATGGACCTGTACGAAATGGAGGTAAGTCTTCTCTTTTAAATAAGTCTTGTGTGGAGATGGAGTAAGATAAAATAATTTGTAAAGTTTATACAAAAGGACCGTGTTATTTCAATGTTTTGTTGTTTTTGTTGAACAGTGGCTGAACATAACTGATTGCAATTTATGAACTGTCGGGACAAATATCGGGATAAAATATAAACATTAAAAAATTGTAAATGAATGGATATTAATTTATTTTAGAGACTGATTGCAAATGAAAGTAAACATAAATGTAGTAAATGTATATGCATAATGAGAAGTCATCTGAAAGACCATAGCCAGAGCATCCGACCTTTTAAAATGTAAGATGTTGAACTCTAACTAGTTCATTAGTCAAAGCCAGTAAGCTCTGCAGTATGATTTGATCTCCAGTGTTCACTTAAGTTTTAGCTCTTTACTTTTGATGGTGGAGACATAAAGCTGTTATTATTTTGATCTCAGATAACCCTTCGGGTGAAGGAGTCTGAGGCTCAGTGTCTGAAGCAGGAGATCACATCTCTGAGGGATGACCTCCAATCAGCACAAAAGGTGAGCATCTGAAGTGATTTAGTACCGCTTTTGTTTGTAAAAAATTGTTTTGCCAGAAACCACATGGCTTCACTTTGCAAGGTCGGCCTCATACATTCATGAGATTTTGCTGTATATTTTCTACTTTTATCTCTGGTAATATTCAACAAATGTTTTCTGGGAGATGTACCACTTCATTAGTGAGTTTTTTCATTTGAATTCTTAACTTCAATCTTACATTTCATTTGTTTTTTCTGAGAATATAACCTACGTAATTTCTCTAATTTACCCTACAGAGGCCCTTTACAACGTTGTAAAAATCACACATATACAGTAGCTGGAATAATAAATAATAAAGATTGAGAATTAAACCTAATGTCTGTCATGTTTCAGGCCAAGAGGAACGCTACCAAGAAGTACAAAGACATGTACACGGAGCTGAGCATCACGTGGGGCAAAACAGAGAGAGAGATGGACGAGCTGAGAGAAAACCTGAGACTCGCTCATCACGCTCTGGACCAAACTTCTCCCTAAAACCATCTGTTTTTAAAATCGAAACATAACATTAGTCTTCACTGTAACATGTGGTTTTCTTCCTGTATTTTCACCCACAACAAATGTATTTAAAACAAACAAGTTATTGTTTAATACATCCAATAACTTTCATCCACAATCTTACTTAACACACCTTTTTATTTTTTGTTTTTAAAGATGTTTACATTGTGTCCCTACTTTGTATTATGTCTGAGCAATTATTAACCTTTTTCACACTGAGTTTGTCATTTAAAGTCATTTCTGCTGCAATGGTCCTGTGAAATGTCATTTTAATATTTCCCAAATAATATTATTAAAAAAGTGTTAATTTATGTGTATATTTTATGTGTACAGCCATATAGTTTTTGTAACACTTTGATCTGAAATATGTATACTCTTAACCACTGCTGTCTGCCCTCATTTATTATCAATTAAATTGAACTAAATCTAAAGATGTGTTGCCGGTACACTGCAATAATAAACAGATGTTTTATTAATAAATCACATTTGCAGAATTGAATTGGTGACTTTGGTGCCATATTTCATTTAATATTTATATTAAGTGCCAGTTTGTAAATTAAAGATTAAAAGTCACAGTTAATACAGTCATTGAAAAAAAAAATGTATATCTTGCGAAGATACAGCCAAAAAAATTAATCAGGCTATTGTTGACAGCATTCAGCACTATTTCTGGCTGAAGAAGAAGAATGTCAAGTTGTTCGGAAAAAGACCGAGTTCCGATTCAAGATTTCAAAATAAAAGCCCCAATTGATTTCCAACGTGGGACAGTCGGGCATAATATTGTGGGGTGTAGTGCCGAGAGGAAGGGAGTCGGAGGCGGTGCAATGAAGGTGCAAAAGGGTACTTTACTTCGGAGTAGAAAAGGACATGTTGTCGGGTCGCAGCCCGGGACGACAAGAGAAAGAGACAAGGGGTGCTTTGCACTTCGGTTAAATGGATTCCTTGCGTCCCTCACTTGCGTCGTTTCCCTGCGACTAGTCCCTGCCACCAGGGAAGCATGGAGAGACGCAAGAGCCTCATCCCAATACCCCTCCTCGACTCCTCTCTTCCCCTCCTCCGGGACTTGACCCGGAAATCGATCAAGACACGCCATTTTGAAGGACGTCCCAATAGCTGAAATGCACACGGAGGAGTCGAGGAGGGGTGAGGGAGGAGGGGTGCGGACGGAGACGAAAGGGAGGATACACGCGAGCAGACTACGCGGAAGTGTTTTCACCACTCGCGTATAAAAGCCCCGCCCCCATCTTCACAGCTGTTCGATTTCAACAGAGGAAAACCGACAACTGGAAGATGAGTGGAAAAGCGTCACATAAATGTATAAGTGCTCACAGCTCCGTGGGAATTATTATGTGCAATTCATTTCTAAAAGGCTTCACATTACTATAATTATATTTGTATTGAAATGTAGGCTACATTTTACACCAAAACGGAACACAAAAGCAGGACCAACCATCATACATTGAATTCCTTGACTAACAAGAGAAAGATTCATTCATTTAAATAAATATTTAACCAGAAATGGGCCGGTTCTAAGGGGTTATTCAGTTAAGCCCGATGAGAGGGGATACAGCTGTTCGCATGTCATCATTAACAGACGTCGTCTAAGAGTGACGTTTGAGTGAACGAGGACATCCCAATTAATACCTGAGGAATCCTCTGTCCTCGCGTCACCTCCTCGTGTCTCTCGCTCGCATCTTACGGAGGCGGAGCTAAGATGCAAGGAAGGGACGCGAGTGAGGGAAAGGAGGAGTCGAGGAGGGGTATTGGGATGAGGCTAAACAGTGGCTTCCTCCATTTTATGACCAATTTATGCAGAAATCCAGGTAATTCCAGCGCCGTATAGACTGAGAGTTACGTCATCTCCGTTCACTCCAATGGACCACTTTTTTACAGCAATGGCGGATCGTGGAGCCTCTCAATCGTTCCCCGGAAGTTAGCGCCAAGGCTAGCAGAGCTGTAGAGTTGCAGCATAATAGACCGTTCGTGACGGACTTTTAAAGGTAAGAAGAAGTTTAAAGTTTTATATTGCGGATATTATCAGTACATCTGATTCAAATTAACATGTGTATTAAAGGATGTCAGTGGATTATCCCTAAATTAGTAGATTTAGGGAACGTTTACAGATAACAGATAAAGCTAGGATTCCGGATCAAGTTAGCAACACAGGTTGAACAGCCTTTTAATTGTAAATTCCGTTCTCTTAATGTCATTTCGTCCAACGTTGTTGAATTAGAGAAGAGGGGCTTCTAAAAGGGATTGTATGCGGGGGTGGAGGGAGTTAAATATTAGATCAATATAACTTTGGTGCGTGTAAGAGTGAGTGTTTTTAGCAGAGCCATATTGTGTCCTTGTGATTATGTTGATTATTACCTGTCTGTATAATGTTGCAGCTCAGCTGATTTTGGATTGATGGCAAAGGGAGAGGGACTTAAGTGAGAGTTTTGCTTTTTCTTTTGTCTGAGTCGCGTGTTTCCCTACTTTACCTCGTTTACTCTGTTAAAATCTTCCGAAATTTGTTTTTAGTTTAAGCGAAACGCGACCGCCTTGCTTGCCCAAATGTTTTAGACGTCCTTAACGTCTAGGGGGAAGGTCCTATTCTGGCGTTTCGGTTCCTACGTACCACAATCAAAACTCGACCATCACATTCGATTTGTAGTGACGGGAGGTGGGCATTGTATGTGACGGGAGGTGGACGGTTGTCAGTGATGGGACGGGTGGACGGTCGTGGGTCGGTCTCCTCTCCGTGTTGTTGTGTTTTTGTTGTTCCGACAGGGCAGTACATGGACCTTCAAACCCAACCGTTTTACTCATCTCTCCCTGAACTTTTTGGAACCACCGTAGAGATGAGTACAACACATGTCAGACAGAACCAACGTCGAGAGTCAATAAAAAAACAACCGGTAAAATTGTAGAAATCTTTTATACTTTTTTACTTCACTTTAGTTAGGAGCAAGAGACCTCTCGGTTTGAAACTAAAAGGAGACAGAACACTCAAACGTCAGAACGTGAAAACGAGGCGAGTGGACATTGTAGTGACGCGGGGAGGTGGACGGTATGTCATTCATGATCGTCTAATGAATTATTATCGCACTATCTTATGTAAAATCATACGAATGGTATATTTGCTGTCATCATTAATTTGAATGG